CACACTGCAAAATTACAGGCTTGGACCTGAGTCCCAGTGGGATTCTGGCTCTGATCCACGCTCATAGCAAGGCCCTAGGACATGGGTCCTGAATGCTTGTTGACCCGAGTCAGACTGATTTGTGTGTGAGCAGAGCCCCTGGGCTTAGTGTGCAGTGTAGACATACTCACTCCCTGCCCTGATCGTAGCGCTCGAGAGGAAATATCTACATGGCTATTTTTAGTGCCGTAGCACGAGCCTTGTGAGCCTGAGTCTGAGACCTGGGGTCTGAGACCTATCTACACTACAGGTCACCGTAAGCTGCCTTGTGTTGACCTAGCAGTGGAAGTGTCTTCCCTTAAATTTGGCTGCCACCTAGAGGTGCCGACTTTACAAGTTCCTGGGGTGGGGGGCGGGAGGGAAGGAGGCTCAACCTCTGCTCCACCCCTTTGCCCAATCCCCACCCCTTCCCACCTCATTCTGCTCCTTCCCCTCCCCCACAGTGCCTCCTGCACGCTGCTGAACAGCTGATCACAGCAGACAGGAGGCGTTGGGAAGGAGCTGATTGGTGGGGCTGCTGGTGGGTGCTGAACCCCCACTATTTTTTTTCCCTTGGAGCACCGATGGAGTTGGCACTTATGCTGCCACCAACGTAAGTCTCTCTACGCCAATTTAGTAACACCACCTCCCTGTGCATCATAGAGTCATGGTCGATGTAATTAGGTCTATGCAATGTCAGTGTAGACACTGCGGTGCTTACGTCGACTGTTACTGGCTTTCAGGAGCCATCCCACAATGCCCCACACTGACAGTACAATCGATACAATCTCTCCAGGTGAGGACACGCATCACTGACACAAGAAGCCAAGCGTGAACACACAAAAGTGATTTAATAACCGCGGTGGCTGGTCGACATAATTTTGTAATGAGATTCACTGCCGTGGGGTTTTTTGCAGTGTAGAAATAACAGAACAGCTAAGGCCTTATTTACACAAGAAACTTGCACCAGTTTTAAACAGATTTGGTTGAGCTGGTGCAAACTGCTGTGTGAACATTTATTTCAGATTCAAAACAGGCTTACTTTGGTTATGTTTAAATTGATTAGGAAACAGTTGAAGTTAAACTGAAATAAGCCACTCAAACTGAAACAAGAGCATCCCCACATGCGTTGGCACTGGATTAAACTAAGTCGGGTTAAAAACCTAAGTGAAATCGGTGTAATGTTTTTGCATAGAAAAGCAGCAGAATTTTCAACTGTGCCTGACTTAGATGGCTAAGTTCCATGTTCAAAAGTGGCCCAGGCTCTGCGGATCCTAGGTCTCATTGAAAGTCCATGGGAATTAGACTCCTTGAGGCCCAGATTTTTAAAGGTATTTAGGTTTGCTTCAGTGTTGCCATGCCTAAGTGACTTGGACAGCTAAGTCCCATTTTCAAACCTGGCCCGGGTACTTAGGTCCAGATCTTCAAAGATATCTAGGTGCCAAATTCTGATTGATTTCAGTGAAGGTATTTCATCAAAATACCTCAAAGACCTGGGCTTTGGGGGCCTAAACCCATGCAATTTAGGCACACAAATCACTTTTGAAAATGGGATTTAGGAGCCTACGTCACCTGAGCACTTCTGAAAAATGTACGCCAGGCCTTAGATTCACAACCTTCCTGCACGATGGGTCATTATCATCATCTCCATTTCACAGAGGGTGTAAGACTGACATTTTCCAAAATGGCCTCCATTTCTTTTTGGTGCCCAGATTGGGTCTAGGGTGACCAGATGTCCCTATTTTATAGGGACAGTCCCTATTTTTGGGTCTTTTTCTTATATAGGCTCCTATTACCCCCAACCCCCGTCCCAATTTTTTCTATCTGGTCACCCTAATTGGGTCTGATTTTCCTGAAGTGCTGAACAACCACAGCGCCTGTTGATTTCAATCCGAA